AAGTTCAGATAGACTAAAGACAACGGAGAATCTTATGTGAATAATTTCGCAGACTATAAAACAGCTTTTAAAAAAGGGTGTTGGAAGCCTTCTTGGGTGAAATATAGTGACATCATTCATTAACATGTGAATGGACGTTTCGAGAACCAACTAATATCGTTTTCGAAAGGAATGGAATGGAATGAAGAGACGAAGAAAATTGTTATGTTGATGCGTAGATGTTTTGTTGTAAAAAGAATTCATAAAGAAATACATTCTGATCTGTAATTTTCAGGTACTCTAGATACCGAATAGGGGTGTTACTTTATCTTTACTTTATTTTTAAAGTAAAGATTATCTTTATTCTTTATAAAATAAAGTTAAAGAAAAATCTTTATCTTTATTTTTAAAGATAAAGATCTCACCTTTACTTTATTCTTTATTTAAAGAAAAGTAACGAAAAAGTGACATACCTAATTTTTCAGCCAAGTGTGAGATTCTATGTTAAGTCAGAAAATGAACCTAATCTTAGGTAAAGTGTAACATCCTGTCTCACGAAACAACTCCCTGTTAATTTAATTTGTGGATATCAAAAATTTATTGTGTTTTGTCACAAATTGTAAAAAAATTCTTTATTGTTTATTTTAACTTTATTTGAAAGGTAAAGATTTTTCTTTATCTTTATTTTATGAGTCATTCCATGTAAGCCACACCCGAAATGCATAGACAGCTGGCCAATCGAGGTTCTCAGATTTGCCTCATTTTTTTATATGTGGTAGAGGGCGGCGTTTGATGGATTGTGGCCCAAGCCGATTTACTAACTCTTGGTTCCTTCAGATTTTATGAGCATTTTACGAAGGCGCTAAAAAATGGAAAAAATAAAAATTGGGGATACAAATTGGATAATATCTCATGAACGGCTTGGCCGATCCAGCTAAAATTTTCTACAGATATGTACCCTAGTCAGTTGCACTTGCTGTAAAATTCGCAGCCTTAAAACTTTGGTGGATGGATTTCCGGAAGTCTTCTACGATTTGCGAAAGCCCATTTTTGCAAATCGATTTTCTCCCAAGATATGGTCCCGTTTGGGCTCTGGCTTTCATAGTTGGGTAGTACTAGGCCTAGACTACAACCCCAGAAAAAAAATCGGTCTGGGATCTCTGGAGACGGCTGAGAAAAGGGGCCGTCTTTTAGAGGGTTTTTCACATAGTTCGACGTGGTGCATGACTATGACAGTCAATTTTGCACTTTTTTTTACTGAAGCCTATGTAACTTTCGATGGAGAATATGATGGCACTACTCTTTTCCCTTACTTTGAACATTCCCCTACTCAAAATATGAAAGCATTGAACCTTGATTGAACATATTCTACAAAATAGTATTTTTATTGAAAATTTTTTATTAAAAAGATAAAAATAACAAAAAAATAAAAGAATAAATCTAAGCTAAAACCGGAATTTGAATTGAACAATTGATCATCTGAAATTAAATAAAAAATATTGTGCTCCATTCGAATGACCAACTAGCTGAAACCAAATAAAAGTGCTTTGCCATGAGAAATATTAAATAAAAATAATTTATTTGATTCTCTCGCGTATTATGAAACGTGTTTTTTTGGACAGTAATTCTACTATTCTTTTGTCTCATACCGTCACGTATATGTTAATAGTCTTGCTCCATTTTATCTTTTCTTTCTACTGCGTATTCTGACTGTGTACTTCTTTTAATCCTCATTTACACAATATTTGCGAAAAAAGAGGTATATTTGAGAAGAATTGATCAAAATCATCAGTACTAAATGAATCAAAGATTTGCCAGAATTATTTAGAATGGTATTATTTCAAATTAGGTATGTTCGGATAAACTCCACCACGCGAATCATATTTCAATGATTTTCGTGCCGGTCGCAAGTCCGGAAAAAGGAGGAGCGTTAGACGGAAGGGATGCAGATACCGCCGCTTGTAAAAACAAAAAGACGAAAGAAACCAACCATGAACGGTCATTTTCCGAAATTACACCGGCTCGGACGTCGCCCGGGTGAACAAGGTCCGTGTCCTCTGTCGTGGGACCAGGACAGAGTCGAAAAGTTGGCTACTGGAACAACCATTTCGTTACAAACAATAACTACTCAAAAAACAACAACAACAGCACCAACATCAACATCAACTAGAACAACATCGATACCAACAACAGCACATAATCCAATCTCCAACAAACTAAAACTAGCAAAGAATGTGTTTACGATCGGTACATGGAATGTACGAACACTGTGGGCAAGTGGCAAACTGGAATTGTTAAGAAATGAAATGAAAAGATACAGATACGATATTGTTGGCATCGCAGAAGTGCGGTGGACAGATAAAGGTGAAACAGCAAATGGTGATTTCATCTGGTCAGGTGAAAGTAGTGCGCATATGAGAGGCGTTGGTATGTTACTTAGTACACGAGCTCGAAAAGCGCTAATAGGCTACAATCCAATAAATTCAAGACTAATCACAGCAAGATTCATGGCAATACCATTCAACATAACAGTAATCAATGTATACGCTCCAACATCTGAAGCATCAAATGATGATATCGAAACATTCTATGACGACCTAGAAGATGCAATATCAAAAACTCCGAAGAAGGATATACTTATTACAACGGGTGATTGGAATGCAAAGGTAGGCGATGACAATGCAGGCTGGGAACATGCAATGGGTAAACATGGTTATGGAAAACGAAATGAACGTGGTGAACAATTATTGGAATTCGCAACATCACATAACTTATTCATTTGCAACACAGCATTTCAACAAAAACCANAAACGTGTTTTTTTGGACAGTAATTCTACTATTCTTTTGTCTCATACTGTCACGTATATGTTAATAGTCTTGCTCCATTTTATCTTTTCTTTCTACTGCGTATTCTGACTGTGTACTTCTTTTAATCCTCATTTACACAATATTTGCGAAAAAAGAGGTATATTCGAGAAGAATTGGTGAAGATATATCTTACTAACTGACGTTTTTGGATGAGAAGTATTGTAATTCTATTGAATATTATTGTCAATTAATAATAACTTTAGATATGACTAAAGAAATGATGAAAACAAAATTTTCAGTAATAAACTGAAGTTAATTTGTTCTGAGAAACATATAAGAGAAATAAATAAACAGTAATTGAATTCCTGCATTTGTCTGCAAGCGAATTTAGTTCACTGAGAGTTTACTCAAGATCTTTTCATGTTTGAGACAGTAGTCATCGCGAAGTTTGAAAGGTTTCGAGGGATGATACAAGGTGCTCACTGGAGAGTATTTCTGGTATCGTAAGATAAACTATCATACATTTTGTTTGGATTATAAAAGAGCCTTGTAAAAAATGAAAACTACATTATCGTGATAATTTTTAACATTTACTTTTAACAACGTTAGCTGAGTCTATACAAAGATATTTACAATGGCGAAGAAAAGCTATGAGGGTTGTAGTAGTGGACGTGGAAAGCCAGTGTATCTTCTTGATCGAAGAAAATATGAACCGAGTTTCGATAGCGATTATGGCGTATCCAAACTGTTTGATAGAAGTCCCTCAATTGGAACATTAAGCAGTTCAAATGCTTCTCATGGACGTTCTCAATTGTGTAAATCTTCTATAGATGGTGAGTTAAGTTCGCCTTCGGATTTTTTTATCAAGTTTGTTCAAATGCAAAGTAAACACTAATATGTCTTCTATTCATGGGATATCAGATGGAATTGGACCTACTCGAAGTGAGCATTCGACAAGAATAATGGAAAACTATTCAATGGATAATATTCATCAGCGAACTTACGAAACATCCGAATTGTCTAGCCCTACATTTATGAATACTTCGAGCAATTTACCAATATGTCTTAATAAAGACGAAAATCACGATACAAACGTTTCTTCTAACTATGATTATAACTCAAATGCATCTTTTGAACATGAAAACATGTTTTGGCCATATACTAGGCTATTTTCCGATGATGAAAATGAACCACAGCAGAAACAACAGCGAAACAATGTTTCGGGTTGGTTTCGTTAACTAAACAAACTAAAACAATTTCTGATTATTGTAGATTGGATGGATACTAATTCTGAAAATGCAGATATGAAAGATGGTCAAACTGCTCCAAAGCTTGTCCAAATTGTAGTACCTAAGTATGATAGCTGTTGTATGCAGGATTGTCCAAAGGTATCCGAATGCGGACCTACTTCACACTGTAACCTGCCTTCTCCTCTTTGACTAACATACGTTTATTTCATAATAGACTGTCCTGATTGGTCACCTTTTTGTGTCAGTTTCGCTTCGCTTGCTACTAGAGATATGCAGTCATATCTTAAACGTAAGAAAGTAATTTGTAAGATTGCGGAAGATGATGTTATCATAAACGAAAAGAATCTTGTCGCAAATCGATTATGCCTAGAGAACATACTGATTGATGACTCAATGTACATCTGCCCTAAACATCGAAGCTCATATGGAATTAATCGGTATATTTCTGGAACCAAATGTCATCATCCTGATCATGATGCAAAACGTCCTGCTTCTAAAAGCGATTTACGCACAGCTAAAATAGATATCTGCTTAAGAGTTGAAGGTTTCCCAATCGGCGGAAAGTAAGCTTATTAAGAGAAAAATTACATCTGACAATTTTCACAGCTATGTGATCTATTTCACATCACATCTTCAAATTGTACATGAAATTATTCTATTCAGAATCCGCTTAATACATTCGACACTTGCTTTAATTTGCTTATTGAATACCATTAAAGACTGCTACAACTAAGAAGAAAAGAATATGAAACAGTTTTCGACTGTCTGAACCTAATTTACCGTTTTTTTTTGTTCTAAAATATTGCAATAAGCTGATTTTATATTTAGTATATGCTCGAAACACAGAAACCAAAGCAAAGCGATCGTGAAGGATCTGCCACTAAGTCCTATATCCAAGGGGGAAACGGCGGACTTCAAGTATGAAAGTAGATCAAAATCCAAAAGTAACTTCAAGTAGCTTAAAGTATAACAAAAGTAGCTCCAAGTAGCTTAAAGCACGACAAAAGTAGCTCCAAAGTAACTGCAAGTAGCTTAAATTACGACAAAAGTAGCTCCAAAGTATAGTGAAAGTAGCTTTAAGTAACTTCAAAGTATGAAAAAGTAGCTCTCAAGTACGATCAAGTATCTACAGAGTATTGTCAAAAATAAAACTAGGTACTTGAAGTATGTCCAAAGTCACTGAAAGTATCATCAAAGTCTTTCGAAGTACAGACAAGTATCACAAAGTGGAATGATGGCGGTGAGAAGTTATCGATTTATCAAATGAAATTTCACTCCAATGAAGATATATAAAAAATGTCGATTTTATTATCCATAAGTCATAGGAGAAATATCGATAATGAAAAATAGAATCACGAATTTTATCAGTTAATACTGCTCGTTTGTTGCATTACTCGAGATACACGATCACTTGATAACTTTGTTTTTGTGTTGGATAACAGCCAACATGCTGATTGTTTATGAAGATATTTAGTTTTATCCTTTAATTTGACCCTAAAATACGAGTGTTTCAGAGCAGGATTAATACAATCAACAAGTTTAATTCCATCAAAATTTGATTTTGTTGTGTTTAATACCTCTATTTCATTATTGTCATCATTGTCTTCAAAAGCTAATAAATGATTGTAAAGCTCATCTTCTCCATCATTATCATCTTCATCATCTCCATCATCATCGGATTCTAGTTCTTCATTGATATAGGTTGTTGCTTGTGATGAATGGCCGAACATTTTTGAACTCTTCTTTAAGCTGTTGTATGTAAATTTACTTAAAGTTTCCAAATTAATTATATCATTTTCTTCTAATTCTAGCAACATGTTTGAATGATGCACGATATTGATTGCTTGTTCGTATGCATCTGATATAATTTGCTCAAGATCCAACGTATCTATCTCATCTAAATTATCTGCCGCTGTCAATAAATCATCATGTTTATGCTTGTGATGGAGTGGAAATGACAAACCATTATTCAATTGATTGTGCTTGATTTGATTTAATATGCATAACTTCTGTGCACGTTGAACAAAATTTTTCACAGTAAAGTTTACCATGGTAGAAAAAGAGCCACTTAATGATCGTGCAGCACGAAAAATTGATTCGCATGGCTGCGATGAAAAAAGATTTATATTAATTAAAGCCTGTTTAGGTAAATGTTTTTGTTTCACTAGGAGTATCAAATAAATCAGATTGTGTGCATTCAACTCAACACAAATGTATGCAGGTTTTGAAATAAAATGTTTGTTTACGTCATTCTTCTTTGAAGTTGTTACTTTATTTCTCAAAGAATTTGAAATTGAATTTATTTTTAACCATGCCAACCATAAGCGACAAATAAATACGACACACCATGCCGATTGTACACCTATGTAAGTGTACAGAAATATTATAGAATTAGAAAATCCAGCGTCACGAGTCAATAGAATCGAAAGTAAACTTACGTTCACGAATGGATGTTTCTCTATTAATATAAGCATTCACTATCATTTTAATTAAAGTTAAGTAAATGACGGTTCCATTCGTCTCATCACGATCAACCAAAAGTTTTATTACGTCCTCTGATATTGTCTTGATGCACGAGTTAAAATTCTGTCTATCTTTCGGGTTAATGTCACTTATCGTAAGATCATGATCGAGTTTTGTATGACACCCATCACTAACCAATGCTTCAATGTGTGCTATATTGATTTTATCAGTTCCAATACGTAAATCAGCTGTGGAAGACAACATCCTGTGTCTCAATTTTGTTACGATATGAATCGGATCCTGAAAAACAAGAAAAGCTGATGCTCTCCAAGAAAAAACC